TTTCAACAAAATTGAAAGTTAATTATCTTAGAACGATATTTATATTATATTTAACATAATAAACGAGTAATAAATTTCAAAAGTCATAGTAAAATAAAATAATAGTTATAATAAATATTATAATGGTGATACAAATACAATGGCAAATGAAAAAGAAAATGATGAATTGGTGAGGGGGATGAGTAAAAGGGTGAAAAGGGTTGGCTGAACAGTTGGGGAGAGGAGAGAAACAGGTGCATGCAGAGAACACAAATATATTCTTACTCAGATTCAAATTCAAATACACCAACATCTTTATACAACCAATTTTTGTAGAGACTAAATCAAACTTAAGGATTTAGATTTGAATTTAATTGTTTGAATATAAATATCTTTAAGCAGTATCAAAATATTCAAGTTGAACACATTAATTTGTTTCGCCATTTAATGTTGATTAATAAAAATAATAACACCATTATACGAATATATATTGAATTTATTTGATCAACTTTACCTTCACAGAAATACTATTGTACAATGATATTTCAATGACGTTGATAGTAAATAGCATTTGATTAAGTTATGTAATTTTCATAAGTGGTTTAAAGTTAAAAATTCAACGATAAAAAAAATGGTTGTAGAGTGTAATATTAAAAGCCAATAAGTACGTGAAGCATTAGTACTAAACGTCACTTTTACCTCCCTTTAATACATATGTGCAATTGAAAATATTACTTTATTTTTATTGAATTTACAAAATTTCTTGCTATACGTTTGCATAGTTTTCGAGAGGGGAAAAAACATGCCTATCAAATTATTTTCACAATTATTTTAAAAAGCCAATAAAAATTAGTATATTGCCTTAAGAAAAGGCCAAACACTTTTTGCATATAAAATAGATAAAAAATATTATTAAACATAAAGATCGTTACATCATTTTTACTTTGTCTAAAATTAATTAACAGATTTTACCCATACAATTTATTCCATATAATCTCATATACATAATATCATTAGAAACATGTAATCCCTTATCAACATTGAGAATAATGAATCGCTTAGTAACTTAGACTGTTATTAACGGAATATAGAAAAGCATTTTTAAGAAAATTTGTTTAAGATTTCAATTTCAATTTTAAGACGACTGATTGAAAAAAATAAGATGCAACACACACTCTCTCCCTCTCCCTCTCCCTCTCTCTCTCTCTCTCTCTCTCTCTCTCTCTCTCTCTCGTTGTCTTGCGCATCACATGCATATGGACATACTTATTGCTTTATGCATACACATCTATACACATGTATTCAGTTTTTCAAAAAAGAGTCTAAGGCGAAAAGTTCGGTCCACATTAATATGAAGATGAGATAATACACCATAGAGAAAAAATCTTCCAAAACAACATTATCGATGTATAATAAAGCGCATTCTTTTCTATAAGACTTTCATATTCCTAATATTTATAAATAATTGTATATATATATACACATATATATATATATATGCACACGAAAATAAATAAACAAATAGAGTTAATAATGAGTACACGTCAAAATAAAGTTTCGTTTGTCCCGATGACCGTCGATTGCGCTACTTTGCATATAGATTTTCATACGATTCGAGCATACATACGCACGTACATTTTTCAGGGTCAAAGCTTTATTGAATAACGGAAATAATAACATAAAATTGCTCTTCTGCACAATAAATGATATTTTATTGACAAGTTTTATGTAAAGGTCATGAAATTGGATATTATTATAGTACAATTGTATTTATAATTAAATTGGTAAGGCATAAATGTATTTATATAATCGTATAAATTGTATGAAAAACTTAAATTATGGTTGGAATAATGAAAGTAGGTGGTTGGAAGAGAACTACTAAAGATTCTTTATGCATAATACCTTCAGTTCTATAGATTCGTTCGTTCTTTTTTTTTTTTTTTTTTTTATTATCGTATCAGACTTTTGCTGAATGTATTGTAAAAATTAAATTAATTAACAAAACTTTATGTTTACAACATTTTTAATTTAAAATGATCATCACGTGTAAACATCTAATAATTACATAAATTTATTATGCGTAGTACTAAAAAATAATGAATAATTTACATAATTTTTGTCTTTATTTCAATTATTTTCAAAAATATTTAGAAGTTATTACTAACTATAATTTTTACAAAATATGTTTATTAAAAAATTTATACGTTAATCAATAATTTTAATACTAATTAATAAAGTTCGTCATATAATTAAATAGGTTTAAAGCATTATTTCATATATGCTTATCACGTATCTGTTAATTTTATCGAAATGAATAAAATTCTTTTTCTCGAAAAGATAAAAATGTTTAATTTATTAAGTTTAATAATGTTTTCAATGTAAACTGTAGATCAGAAATACGAATAAAAAGTCAGTAAAAATATCAATTGACACATTTCATATAATTAATTATGCTGTCATAATTTTATGTTATATATATATATATATATATATATATATAAAGAAGTGATAGAAAATTAATTAAAATCATTATTCATATAATTTTCAATTACAATTTTAATCTTGTAACTTTAAACTATTGGAAAAATTATTAGCAATAAAGTACTTTAATAAAGCTCTATTTAATTTGCTTTCAAAAATTGTAAACATAAATTTTGTACTAAAGTATTTGCCTTATAAGAAGCTAAAAAAGCAGATCTTAAATATTTCTTATGCAGCATTTCTTATGCAAAACATTTCCAATCACTTTCTCTTCCAAGATATACAAAAACCTTAACTTTTATGAACAGCTTGTTCTTATAAAGTTTAACAAACACTTTAAAGAACAAGTCCTCATACTTCTGATAAATGTTGTAAATTCATAATATAAAAATAATTACAGTATTTAATTTCGTTGGTAGAGTGTAAGATTTTCATGATTTCATTCCTTTTAAATTGCTATTGCTAGTGGAAAAGAAAAAGTCGACTTAAATTAAATCACATAAAGCTTTGTATGAAAATATAAATAAAATTCAATCTGAGTTAAAAAGTATATTAATTTACTACAAATGCCTAACTCATCATTGTAAATAGTTAAGGAAAATCGCACAACTATTATAAACTAAAAATATAATGTGCTCAACACTATTTTAGCGGTAAAATAACTCATAATAAAAAGTATTGAGCCTAAAGAGAGCAGAGACCAGGCGTGACACAAGTATTTTCGAACGGAAAGTGCGTTTCAACTAAAGTCTAATGGCCTGCACACGAAAGGCTTTTCCCATTTTTTCAATCTTTTTGTCTCTCTCGCTCTCTTTCTTCCTCTCTGTCACTCTGTATCTCCCTTTTCCTATCTCTTTCTCTCATTCTTTCTCTCTTTCTCTCTTTCTTTCTGTCGCTCAATTTATCTCACTCTCTCAGTCGTTTTCGTCGTCATTCATTCTCCGTGATTAAAAATACCTCTCCTGTCGCGCAATTCTTGATGAAAATTGAATGTCGCTCAGCGGTAGTTTAGCCGGTGGCGGCCAATTGATCGATTGGCAGACGAGTTTACGGACATCGATTGATTGGTCGTAACAGACGCGCAAAGTAGATGCGCAATACTTTATCCGCGATTTGCCTCTTGGGCAACCTCTTGCCTTTCGCCTCTTTACATTTCTCCTAAATGACAGAAGTTGAGACAGAGAGAGAGAGAGAGAGAGAGAGAGAGAGAGAGAGAGAGAGAGAGAGAGAATTCTAAAAACTTGAGATAAGAAAATAAAAATTATTTTTTTATCTTTTCTTTTTAATCAATACAAATATCTTGGTTTGAACGGAAACATTTTTTTTTTTAAATCTTTTAATGAATTTCAATTAATTTTAATATTTCCTTTGTTATATGCCATTGAAAAATAGAAATCATATCTTACAAACTTTTACAATCAAAAGATAAGTATTCTTTTGAATTTTAGTTTCTTCCAAACTAATCGTTAAAACAAAACAAAAAAAGTTATTCTTTCAAATTTATTAGTGGATTGTATAGAATTTATATGGAAATATTACAAAATATACAAAATTTTTAAATACTATTGTTGATATAATTGCTATTAGGCAGTTCATTAAATTCTCATAAAAATTTTAAATCCTTAAATTCGATATTCGATAACGAAGAATATTTATAAGTATCAGTTTATGTAAGAATATTCATTAAATTAAATGGACAATAGCTTCGATCATACCTTATTTTATTAAAATAATTTAATACTTTAACATGACGCAAAACTCTTATTAAGAAAATTTACCCAGTAATTGTAAATTCGCTGATATATTTGTAATTACGACTATTGAATTTCATTTCAGGAGACTATCTACGCATCAGTATTTAATGACAATGAAAAACAAAAGGAAAAAATACAGTAAATCCACTTTAAATTAATTCAGATTGTTTCTGCTTTTAAATTTATTGCTTTTCGGCCTATATATAAAACGGTAAAACTAACTGTCAACGTAACAATATAACGAGTGGCGAATTGATACAAATATTCGAACTAATTATAGTATTCAGATCGCACCGAAAATTGGATGAAAATATGAATTTGTGAAAATCAGTGGAATATTAAATAACAAGATGATTTATCTTTTTTGGGATGACAATCGAATTGGATCTAAAAATAATTATTTTAAAATGTCTTTTCTGAGATAAATTTTTTAATTAGTTAGGCGGAATATTTATGCTTACAATATGGAAATGTTACGTTCGATTCAATTTTCGATTAAAGATTTATAACTCACGTTCGTGAAAAACTTATTTGTTAGTTAAATTATTTGCACGATAATTACTTATGAAATATTACATGGTCATATTTAAAGTGTTACACTTATTAATGCACTTAAAAGAATTATAATCGTAAAAAATTATATATAAATATATGTATACAAACAAATACGCAGCCAAGTGCTAGTTTGAAATATAGCAAATAACATAACAACATAAAATCATGTAGAATTTCTATCTTATAATGATAAAAAATGATTCTTTGCGTTTTTTTTTTTTTTAACTGCGTACATATTAACAATAATGATATATCACTGTACAAGGCTGGCATAATGAGCAAAATATTCACATAAAAACACGTGAGAGGAAGTGCCATCTATCGGACACGTGATGAATTTCGAGTTGAAAGACTCGGTTGAAAAGCTAGCAAATAATTTTTTTGACAAAGTTGAAAATTGACTTTATCGACACTTGTTTGAATATCATTGTCTTTACGTACTTTATTTGATAAGTAAATCTATACGAACTTTTCACTTTTCAATGAAAATGAGAGTAGGTTTGAAACGATGGATATGGATGACGTGGATAAGACTATATCAACAATGAAACGCGCGATAAAATATTGTAAAATGTTAGTCCAATAGATTACTATTGCCGGATTTTCGAACCAAGCAATTTAAAAGGTTCAATTATGCCAACGCACAAATTTCAACGAACAACATTTGTAATCGACATTTCAAACCTTACAATATTGTGTTTAAAGCAATGGCAGCAAATTATATTAATTATAATTCATAAAAGTACAATGCTTATAGCGAATACTAGTGTGGGAATGCGAGTACGAGAGCTCGGGAAAGCGGGGCAAAGCGGCGTCAAGCGGTAATCCCATCATAAGTTCCGTTATCCAGTAAGGGAGGGGGCGAGCTTGGCTTTTCTCCGCCCAGGTGAGGGGGAGTCTCCGAAAGCGCCCTTCCGCAACGAATCAAAGGTATTCTGCAAATAGAGTCGAATCGCGTCGTAAATATATTTATGCCTCAACTAAACATAAGTACTTGACTTTTTTACCTTCGACCGCTCGCTCGTATTTCTGGAAATTGATTGCCGAGTTGGTGAAGTGATAATTTATTAAATTATATAATAGCTCCGTAATTTATTTCGCCCACGATGAATACCATTCTCTTTATGCCACCACCACTTCGCCCCACATTATATCTTGAAAGTATATTTAGGATATTCTAATTGAACAAGCATTAAAAAGTCCAAAAACATTTTTCGATCCTGTTATTACGTAAATTTGGAATTATCGTAGTAATGAGGTTTGCGCGTAATGAGAGAATTGATAGCACAGCCAGTTTCTCTTGTGTGCACACTTATTTACGTATGAATGTGCTTTGTGAAAACTTTATGCAACTAACTCAAAAGTACCCTATCGGAAGACTGGCTCCACCCCCTCGCCGCACAAATCAACCCCTCTCTTTCTAGATAATGCAACATAGTCCCTGCTGTTGTACACATGCCCCCTGCCATCAATTGCCCAACATACCCTTTGCCAAACTGTTTTGTTCGTTCACTTAAATTCCCAAATTGATGTAAATTATAAGCTTAAGTATCAAGCAATATCATAAAATAAAATGCCATTAAAATATGATAGTCGTTGAAATAATCAGCAATTTAATGGGTTTAAATAATAAAATAAAATATCGCTAAGGGTTTAAGCTTATCGTTATATATAATATATAAAGAATCTTCCTTTTTATCTCTTTTATCAATTGCATAAATGAGCCTGCTACCTATTAATGAAATAATACAGTAATTGAAGATACTTTAATAGAAATGTATAATACTGCAGCATAACAAGTGTCGATTATACCGAAACACTAATAATTTACTGAATTTTTTCTATAATCTAGGACCCAAAGAATAACGTGTCTTATGATCTGAGTATCCGATAAAAGTAAAAAAATAAAAATATGTAAGAATGAATGATATAAGTGCAACATATTGTACTCCAAGTTTCTGTAGTCTCTTATTTCACGCGGCGTAACTCTCAATTCGTCGAATTTCTTTGAATATAAAAAATAAAAAAAATTCAAAATTATTGTTATGCCAATTGTCAATTAATTGATATTTTAAACTTTTAATTTTCTACTTAACCTTTAAAGGCGCTTTGAAGATCGCAATTTAAACGACATAAAATAGTACAAATATTATTTAACGGATATAAATTCATCATTGTGATTTTTCATGGCGTAGACGACAAGCATAGGGGAGAAAAGAAAAGAAGAAGAAAGAAAAGAAGAAGAAAGAAAAAAAAAACAATTTTTGAATACATAGAGCCTATCACGTTAAAGCTATCCAATCGCAATAAACTATTATAAGATTTTAATCATAATGCATTTTCTAGTGGAATTTTGTTAAATTAAAAAATTTAATTTCTAATTATAATTAAGAAGTTTTTCACGAATATAAAGTTTAAAGCACTCCAAAGAAATAGGGCCAATAATACATTTTGCATTCATTCCTCTAATTATAGCACAACTTTGAAATCGACTATTCATAATTCAATCACGTAATGTGATTATAATCATCCATGTTGCCCGAATAATTTTAACGATTTATGACTTGAAATTTTTCCAATGCGTTATTTAATACGTATACGTACGAGTAGCGAATAATATAATAAAATAATTTCGTAATTTAAGAATAAATAGTCTATTTGGTAAAAGGAACATATGTAATGGATCGAAAGAATGAAATTTGACTTACCAGAAAGCTTTGAAGAGTCTGTAAATTGCTTTTCGTGAAGTTGACACTGAAAAGTATGGACGTTAATAATAAAAACAGTAACAATAAGCGTTAGAAAAAGAAAAAAAATTATAACCAAAATCTTTGATCATAAATCTAAACGTTCAGGGAAAAATAATGAATAAAATTTAATTTAATTAAAAAGTCAGAAGTACTAAATTACTATTCAAAAGTAGTAAATTTCAGTACACATTCAATACTTCACAAAAATTATTTAAATAGCAAACGAATAATTTTCTCTCTGGTCTACATTACATTATATAATATACTTTTTTTAAGCATTATTCATAAAAATAAATAAATAAATAAATAAAAAAATAAATAAATAAATAAATAAATAAATAAATATATATGTATGTATATATAAAAGAATAATCATAAATTTACATTTACATTTACAACATAACTGTCGTAAAATATATTTTTTGCAAATGAATTTAATGTTAGTGTCATTAGATGAAATTTTAATTAATTTTACTACTCATTGACTTATAAATTTATAAGTTTATAAAATACACGATGTATATTTACAAATTTGTAAGTATGCATATTCATACTATATTGTGCTAAAAACCAACCTAAGCTTGCTGCATCCGAATAAGATAAAATGCTTATAATTACATTAAGCAATTTCTTTGATTGCAGCATAAGTACTTGCATAAAATACACTAGATTACAAATGTCAATGTAATACAAATTTATTCAGACGATAATTCAGATGAGCGATAGTCCAAGGAGAGGACAAGGAAAAGCTAGGTTAGCTTTTTGCCGAGTGCCCAGTCATTTTATTAACTACATTAATTTCGATAATACGAAAATTATTACAAAGTAAAAAGATGAACGTAACTCGGCAAAGGCTACGATTAAAGACTCGAGACGTCAAGGCGAGACCCTTCAGACGTCCAATAACAAAGTAGTGAACTCACCGATGACCTTGAGAAATTACCGACCATCAGCCGGCCATCTCTCGCGTACTAGGGCGTGTTGAGTGATGAAAAATATTTTGGCTAACCGCGAACGATCCCCGACCGTTACGTGACTCTGTCCTTGCTAATGCGTGATATCTCGCATTTCCACCGGCTTGTAAATACGTTCTCATAGATCGTAAACGCGCGCCCGGTGTCGTACCACGCACCACGCACACCAAACCACCCCACACCCGCGCGGTCTTGCCGAAGAGGCAATACTAACCATCTGGTGGGGGAATATCGTTGGAGCGTTAAATGTTGCGGAGTGAAAATTTAAAGACTTTTCTTTACGCCAGCCAAGCAGCTCGCTTGGCAATGCTCGCAAAAAACTGTACATAGGCACACCCTCCTATACTCCGTTTTGAAGATACTTATTATTTAAATGGACTCGCTTGGTTTTGCGAACAAGAGACATGTATGAGCGTGCGTATGTAATAAGGAAAGCATCGAATGGATAAGTTTGTTCATTTGTCATGCAAAAGCTCCTGATGATATCCCGACGCTCACTTGATTATGTCAAAAATATTTTATTTTACGAAACTATATTACTAATGTCATTGTTGTAAGCCATACATACATACGTGTATATATATATATATATATATATATATATATATATATATATATATATCTTTGTATATAGACACACATACATATATATATATATATATATATATATATATATATATATATATATATATATATATATATATGCCTATAAGTACAATGCGAAATTTATTAATCTTGCAAACCCAAATGTATAAACAAAAGATTTCAACTTAATAGAATCTCAGTCTATCTTTTTCTTATTAAATGCCAATACGTTGTGTTCAGTATTTACAATTAAAACCACAATTATCATTTACCAATTATTCTCACTTTTTAACTAAAAAAAAAAAAAAAAACTTATAATTACCTTGTCCAACTATTTATGTAAAAACAATATTTGATAAAAATTATGCAAGCAAATAGAAGACACTATCTAGTTATTAAATAGTATAATTTTATATAGCCATAAGTGGTTATTTGTTTTAAAAAATTTTATCTCCGAATGATGGATTGTTTTCAATAAAAGTAACATCAATTAACATTGATCTGTCAATGTAAAAATACTATATTAAATCAGTTTTACCCTTTCGCTATGTTGCTTTAGCGTTTTGGAAACAATAAATACTCGTAGAGATTAATATAATATAGTATCCAAAATGTTAGTAGTATATTATAATTTTTATATATGAAAATTGTAAATTGTTGTGATACGTAGTGCAGATTTTGAACAAAATACATATTCGCTTGTTAAATATTTATAACATGAATTATATTTATCAAAATCTTACCAAATATGCTATTTCTTTTATCATTTATTGTTAAATGATATTGTTCTTAAATGTCTGACTTTAAAAAAAAAAATATTAATTATACTTAAAAAACATTGCATTTTATATAAAAAGCATAAGGAATTACATAATTGTTTTGGTAAAGTATATTAATTTAAAAAATGGATAAAATTTGGTTTTATAAAATTTAATTAGTTAAAAAGTTTTTCAAATGTTTTATAATATTATATACAAATATAGTTTCATAAAATATTTGAAATTAAATCTTTATTTTAATGTTCCCGAACTAGTGATATAAGTAATTCAGTGTTCTGTCGATCGACTTTCTATTAAATATGTCCTTTTCAACCTATTGCATCTATGAAGATAATTCTACAATTTGCTTTAATCGCCTTCATAATAATAATTGTTGCATTATATTCTGTTGTATCCAAATGTATATTATTAGTATGATGCACAAAGGTTTCGATCGTCGCCAGTTTCCTAAAAATAAATATTTTATATTAATTATACTACAAAATATACTGCTCATAAAGTGTGATATTAAAATTCAGATTTATTTAGTATTTGACTTTATTAATATACATTATTTATTTTAATATTATACGGTTAATATTGTTTCATTGACTTTATATTCTTTCCATACTAAATTAAATAAAAAAATATATATAAATTCAATAAATCATATTAATATTTGTCATGAATGTTTATTTCAAATGAAATTAACCAATTCATTGATACTGATGAACTAATCTTTGAGATAAATTAGGATATTTAACAATATTATTTTCATTTAAACTATTAAAAATTATTTGAAAAGTCCATAGAATTTATAAATAAAATGTCAAAGTTCCTGATTTATGTTAAATAGTATTGATGAAATAATAAAACCAATTCATAATAATTTTATAAAGTATCGATAATATATCGATTAAAATAACACGAATCAAAACATACGATGTTTTTTATTAGTTCAAAATTTATAATTAATTAAAAAATATATTGGTTATTTTGTAAATCTTGAAACGATAGCATTGGAGCTAACAAAGAGTTATATTATAACAACATTGAAATTAAACAATAGTTTGAAAAATATTTTAACCAATCTTTTTGTATTCAGGTTAAAGTTTAAGACATAAGGATAAGTGGAGTATTTACAAAACTTAAATTTCAAATTAAAAATATGTGGTAAGTATGAAAAACAACTTAATAGATAAAAAAAACTTCATATTATATAAACGATAAGTTCAGAAAATAAAAATGAAACTGATGTACAAATGCATTGAAAGTGTACAATGGTTTTTAAAATAAAATAATATTTTAATATTAAATAGCATTTATTTACCCAAGTGATGCCGATAAAATTTACTTTTACATCAAAAAATCAGGTCAATCATAGTCTTGAAACGCAAAACTAATTTAATTACTTGAAAGTAGAACTGGTTCATAAAGTGATTTTCAGAGCTGTAAAAAGAAGATAAAAAGCTTGAAACAATTTTAACCGAGCATGTTAAATATATAATTTATCTGATAGAAGATAAATAATTTAAGCGATTCATAATTTTGTAGCTGATAATTAGAAAATCAAAATAAAATTCACCGATGTGAAGTAGACGCGTGGAAAAATAAATACTTACATTTTCTTCTTCTTAATATAATTATAATAGGAGTTATAGAAAAGTCATTGCTTCTATGTTTCTACTTAAAGAATTTACATATTTTTCACGTGCCATTGCTTTTGATTCACACATTACGTTATAACGATATAAAGTAAAAAGTCTAATGAGCCAAAAAATTCAGCGTGTTTATATATGTATTTTAGAATAGTGCATAAAAACAAAAATTATACCAAATAATAGTTATGGCTTTAATTTATTGGTTGAGATTATAACTAAATTTTAATAATATTAGTTATCAGTCGTAAAGTCTCGCTCCAACTTTGTTCAACCAAACATGCATCAATTAGTATATTAGATAATATACCGCAGGTTTGATATTATTAATTCGTCTTAAGATTAAACAAAGCATAATTGCAAGCATACGTTTGTCGATGTCATATCAAAGATTGGTATGAGTAAGAAACACAAATAATATTGTCTAAGCAATTTATAAGACATTTCCATTGATTAGCTTCTTGACATATGTAAAGCAGACCCTACTGAAATAAGACAATCATTTAATAAATACACAATTATTATTTAACATAAAAAATATTAAGACTATCATAATATAACGTACATATATGGAGAAGAAGAGGCAAATAAATGCTTAAACATTATATTTGATAGTTTGTAGATATATGTGGAGAACTTAATTTCGGACATTTCAATAAACACATCGTAAGAGCACAAAAATCATCGAGCTTCTGTAATTAATCGGCTTCATATTCTTTCACTTCGTAGGCATGCAGCAGTTTGCTTACGAAAAGTATGCGACTTTGGATCATCGTGTGCTAAAGAAAACTCAATAAGCCAAGTGGTAAAATCAGAAGTGATCATACCGACTTGGCCAGACACCCTACCTACACCGTCTATCAATATCAGCGTTGCGCGATTTGGTTCTGTTAGATTGAGGATTATTTTTGGCTGCGGGCGTACTCTGTCGTTGGCGAATATAAGTTGTCTTCGTTTATTTATATATCTCGGGCATGATATTGAAAGTTCTTTTGTAAGCATAAGTTGCGTGTAAGGATCGAAGGAGATGTTTTGAACGCAATGAATAAGTAGAGATTTTTTAATGACACGAGATTTTATAATGAAATTGAGTTGAGATTGTCAATAGTGACCGAAATATGATAATATATGTTGTTTGAAAATATAGAGAAAGTAGCAACAGTTTAATAATTTTTATAGTTTTTATAACTTACAGTTTAGTGGTAATGATGGTAGAGATTTCTATTCTATTTTTTTTTCCCCCCCAAAAAAAAAAAAAAAAAAAAAAAAAAAGAAACGACGTGACGAGATTCGCCAATAAGTCCAAATTTTGATATTTATATATTTTGCATAAAAAGTAACGCGCAAATATTTCGTATTATGATAAAAGATATGTTTTGAAAAATTAAGCAAAGGCAGTAATAGTTTTGGTATAAATTTTTTGCAAACTTATCTCCTAAATTAATTATAGACATTTTCATATACAAAGACAATAACCATTAGCTTATTATTTTTTAAAAATCCGTCGAATCTCGTTTACCTAATATTCGTAATATTAATATAAGCCAAATTATACTGTATATATTAGTTCTGGTTATCTATAATATCTTCGTTCATGCACCTTCGTAATTATGAGAATAAAAAATTTCAAATTTTCCTGGATTTTTATGTCCTTTCTGCACATGCGCTCTACATCAAACCACAGGTAGACAAATGAATTTTATAGTTTTTCAATAATAACGACCGTCGCATTAAAACAAATTTTTGGGTGTCGATAAATTGGGAAACTCTGATGGCGCAAATTTTTTGTCATAAATCTCTCGAACACGTGAATATTTATAAATGTATCATCGGCCACTCTATACCCGGCGAATAAATAATGCTTATTATTAATTTGCCATGGAAGATTCCGAAAACAGCTCGAGTGCACGGTAATTCCAGATGACGCGACGAAGGGGATGTATCGAAGGCACCTGCCCTCCTTCTCTTCCCTCTACCCCTTTTTCCTCCTTTTATTTTTTCGTTGTAGCCGTCTCTCTTCTTCAACAAAAAAAAAAAAAAAAAAACGCAATTCGTTGGCTGGCTGCCGTAGGAAGGGATAAAGTAAAGTATATGGCCAAAGTGTTTTATAGCCTCGTCTCTGCAAAGTACACGAGCGTGCGTGCCTGGGGATTCGCGAGCCCGAGTGCGTCTCTACGTGCACCGTATGCACGCGTGCGTACGCGCGAGCTCCTGTATTTGTGTGAGTGCGAGTATGGGCGCGCGGGCGCGCGTGCAAAAGAAAAATAGAGGTATAGTGTGTAAGGTAAATGCGAGTGAAAGCAGGAGCCGCGCCCTCTGCTGAGCGTCGGGGTGGAACCGTAGAAGTTGGAAGTTGGAACGAGTAACGAGCTAACGAGTAGCGTCCGGAGGCTGGGGACTCCGGGATCTGGATAGTAGAGCGATAGGCTATATGGAGCCGTGTGGCATCGCACTCGCGCAGTCAGAGTGCTACGCTCGCTCGTACGAGCCCGAGGACAAGTGAGGCCTGAGAAGCCGTGGACGAGTGTCGCTCGACAACTGGCGCAGTGCTTGGTATTGCGAGTGCCGCGGCGCGGAGGTGCTCCGGTCGCCGCCATGCTCCGTGCATCGCCGTGGCCCACGGACAAAAGTGCCGGACCGAAGGCGCCAGAGCAAGTCTTTGACGTCCGCGAGCTCGGTGGTGGGCGAGTGTGATCGCTGGCCCTGGTGCTGGTGTTTGTGCTGGTGCCGCATGTGTGCGTGCGCGCGCGCCCAAAGCGCCAGGAGGGAGGATCCATCGACGTCGTCGTCGTCGTCGTCGTCGTCGTCGTCGTCGTCGTCGTCGTCGTCGTCGTCGTCGTCGCCGTTGTCGTCGTCTTCGTCGTCGCCGTCATCGTTATCGTCGCCATCCGGGGCCGCGGTGGTCGTTGAGCACGGGACCAAATTCGGTCCCATTCCCCGTGAGAATGTGCCGAACTCCGCGCTCTCGAGAGCAATGAGCATCGCCAGCAACATCGTCGTCGAGTGGCTGCACTCGCTACACCTCGGCGAGTACGCCGAGTCCTTCGTCGACAACGGCTACGACGACTTGGAGATCTGTAAGCAGATCAGCGAACCGGACCTAGACGCTATTGGCGTCTTCAAGCAAAGCCACCGTCTGAGACTCCTTCAGTCTGTTAAGAGGCTGCGCGAGGAGGGGGCCGCCAGCGTCTACTTCACCCTCGAGGAGAGTAGCGCCTGCCTTTGCGAGGCCAGCCGCGAGGATTTGTCCCCGGGCGCCGTTGATAAGGAGCCGACCGGCGCCCCTCCTCATACAGGGGCCAAATTCCTCGACGAGTACGAGGAGGGCAAGGCCGAGCTCGTACGTATCCCGAGGATGCAGTTGCGGCTTTTGCTGCAAGAGAAGCTGCGATCCGACGGCATTCGGCTGGCCTGTCAGCCCTACA